AGACGGGGTCTCGCCCTTGCTCAGGCTCGTCTCAAACTCCTGACCTTGAGTGATCCACCCGCCTCGGCCTCCCAGAGTGCTAGGATTACAGGCGTGAGCCATTGTGCCTGGCCACATTTTTAATGTTTCTCTTTACTAGAATGTATCTGGGCTCAATCCTCATCTTTCTTCACATTCTTCGGTCCCTTCTCCCTGAGCAGAAAAAGGAAATTAGAGGCCAAAGAGGGTATTTTGCAACACATCCAGTAAACCCTGGGGCTTAAGATGCAAGATTCTTTGGTTACAAGGAAGTTCTATGTCTTTAGTTTCTCTGGGAGCTGACGGCAGTGAACTTTATTTGTTGTCTTATTCTCTCTCAGTATTAGGAACTCCCAATCTTTATAACAAACTAATTTTACATTAAACCAAATGAATTTCAGCAAGAAACGAAACAAAGTCCACAATATATTGTCTTATGAACTAAGAAAACTAAAAACCTTTTATAAATTGTAAATCAATGTTCAAGTAAAAGTGATTAATAATAATTATGAACAGTAAAGGTGTAGCAGAAAGTTATTTAAGAGTCATAAGCTATGTGAATTCAATGATCACCTGCCTGAAAGTTTAAGAACCACCTAAACTCCTCGTGGCTTCTTTATAAAAGTCTCCCAGAAACACATACCCAGTGCGCTAATAATGGCTGTGTATTCACTAGACTCCAAACCAAACTCTGCACAAGAGCTAACTGGAGCCTTAGCTGATCAGAGGTCAATCTGGGCTCCTGGCAACGGTAGGATGTCTAGGTTCAGGGAGGGGTGTTGACCATAATCTAATAAGAGACTGCCTTATGGAAGTCCTACTGAATCATTTCAGTACAGAGTAAGGTTGCTTTCTGCCTTTTTTTTAAAAACACTTTTCTATCTTTTAATTGGAAGATAAAGTGGGAAGGAATTACAATTAGATATTATGCTCACCTGTTTTCTTTTTATTATACATACTTTAGATTGTAGACTGAATACAAATATTGATCAGAAGCCAAAACACTCCACACATTCCTTACCAAATCAACCCAGGCCAATCTATCGTTCAACTACACATTTTTATGTTCTTGCCTCACCACTTACTAAAATAAATATACAAGCAAATAGCAGTCCAATCCAACTAAGCATCTTTCATCTATAATTATGTGAAGCAAGAGATTTAAAAATGGGTAGAGTTAATCCATCTCACCAATTGCATCTTCAATGCCTGTTTAGTCATGCTTGAATGTCTAGATTCAATTTATAGAGAATATGAATATATAACATTGTAAAGGGAGGCTTCTGGCAGATCCTGTCTGACAGGGACAAAAGGTCAAACAGTTTCTTTGCTGTTCTGTGACAGTTAAAGAGTCTCTGGGCTGGGTCAGAGGGTGGGAGAGTTATGTCTAGATCTGGAATGGATCACTCACACAATTAAGTTCTTGTCAGAGCAAAAAACATGACAGCACAACTTTCCCCAGGCAAGAGGACAGCCAGATGGAAAATAACTCTTTTTCTCCACTTATCTCAAAATTAGAAATGAGAATGGAATTAAATGATGGAAAAAACATTTGTAAGTTTTAGAATATACTCTACTTGGGTTGCTGGGGTTACTATTTTGAGGTGATGTTTAGAAATTTTGGAAAAACGGAATCTGGTTTTCCCCTCATTGGAAACTGGTTACTCAAGTTAAAAACTAACTCACCTTCACATCACTTTTTTCTTTTTTTTTTTTAAGAGACAGGGTCTTACTCTGTTACCCAGGCTGGAGTGCAGTGGTGTGATCAAAGCTCACTGTAACCTCAAACTCCTGGGCTCAAGTAATTCTCCTGCCTCAGCCTCCCAAAGTGTTGGTTTTATAGGTGTGAGCCACTGCACCCAGCCTCACATCACCTTTTAACTCACAAACTGAGCACTATAAGATAGTGATTATAGTGTAGACAGTACTCAACTATTGAATCCATACTTTTATTCATTATACACAGACTTAAACAATGCCGTTTGCATGTAGAACTTAGATATTCATATATCAGCTGATGAGCAGACATTTAAAATTTTTTCCTGTTAATGTTGCCTGCAACCATTAGTTTGGTATTTTCATCATCTTTGTCTGACATGAGTGTTTGTTTTTGTTCAATTATTGGTAAAACAGAAGTATTGAGCCAAAGATGGAAATTATTAGGCTTGCTATAGGTGGCAAATAATTGGCTTTAACCAGATACTCATTGTGTGGAAAAGGAAAAGAATGAATAAATAAGTCTGAAGTTTTGGAATTATACTGCTGAAGACTATCAAAAAGGCAAAAAAAAACAATACATGTTTGATGCCTTGAGAAGGACCTTTCCCCACTCCACATATACATACGTTGAACAGACTTAAGTCTGTGGTTCAACTTTTGTATAGTGATTTGACTTCACTACACATTTTTTGAGACTTAGTATGTACTAAAATAGGGGATTGTTTATATGTGATCTAAAGGTTAGACTCTAAACCAATTATTAATATTAGTGACTATGTCTAGCACAGATTCACAGAAGATTAAGAGACAGAACGATCCTTGGAGCTTATCTACTTCAAAATGATAGTTCTACAGATGAAAAAACTGGAGGCTGCAATGATTATTTTACTTGCCTAATGCCCTACAGCAGCTAAATGCGTGGTGGTGCTAGGTCCAGAACCTGGGATTTCTCTAACGCAGCATTCTTTCTGTCACTGTAATTTTGGTTGCCCTACCATCATGTTAACATTACAAGTCTATGCAGTTTCTCAAAAATCATGGGAGGCATGATTCCTGATAGCCTTGTGGTATGGTTTGGATGTTTGGCCCCTTCAAATCTCGTATTGAAATTTGATCCCCAGTGTTGGAGGTGGGGCCTGGTTTGGGTCACGGGGACAGATCCCTCATGAATGGCTTGCTGCCCTCCTCATGATAATGAGTGAGTTCTCACTTTATTAATTCACATGAGAGCTGGTTGTTTAAAAGAACCTGGCACCACTTGCTCTCTCTCTTGCTCCTTCTCTTGCCATGTGACATACCCACTCTCCCTTTGTCTTTTGCCTTGATTGAAGCTCCTTGAAGCCCTCACCAGAAGCAGATGTTGGTGCCATGCTTGTACAACCTGTAGAACCATGAGTCAAATAAACCTCTTTTCTTTATAAATTACCCAGCCTCAGGTGTTTTCTTTACAGGAACGCAAATGGATTAATATACCTTGCAAACTGTAGTGCCTCCAGGTTCTGGGTCTGTGAATGTCTGTGACCCTTGTTCCCCCAAATTAATATGGTATTGAGAAAAACTTGAACGCCAAATCAATACTGGCTGATGCTGGAGATGTTTTAAAATGGTTTCTGCATTTTATCTTCCAAGTCTAAGGTTAAATATTACTTTTTCAGAGATGCCTTCCCTAGCAAGCTTATCTATGCTTGTCCTGTTCTTTATGTAACTTTATAGCACATATCACATTCTGAAATAATATATAATTTGCTTATGAAGTATCTTTTCCAACATGTTATAAATTTCATGGAGGCAACTTGTTCCCAACTGTTTATGTAGCACCTAGCACAGTCTTGGCATACAAAAGCAGCTCAAATATTTGTTGAATAAACAAATGAATTTCTCTCACTAAATTCACGGTTGAAGCAAGCCTTATAGAAGCCCTAATTATCCCTTTTATCCTGTCCTAAACTTGGTAACTAAGCCCAAGGGATTAAAGTTCCAGGGAAGTAGATTTTAGCTGAGATTTTAGCTCAGCAAAAGCTATTAATTAAAAAGATTCAGACATGGAATGAACAATTTTATAGGATACTGAGGTCTCTGTCCAGAAGAGGCTGGAAAACCAAGTGCCCAGGTAGATACGATCTTTCTGCATTAGGCAGAAAGCCAATCTTGAAAACTTCTCAGGTGTCTTCCAACTCTAAGGTTCTGGAGTTTGTTTCTTTTCAGCCGCTCAATTTTGAATTAGGATAAAATATATTTACAAACTTCCTTAGGAAATAACCCAAGAGACGCCATCTAATGAGACTTAAAAAATTGATTATTCAGCAATGTATGTCCTTTTACAGTTATTTGATACATAGGAATTCTACTGAATATACAATTTGCTCTAGGTCCATACAGACTAAAGTGAGTTTTTTAAAAGTTTGTGTAGCATTTCAAACATAAACACACACACTTTCATGTAATTATTATATCGACTCTGTGAGGAAAATGATGCTTGAGCTCATGCAGAGTAAGCAGCTTGTCCAAAGTGCAAGAATTGTCAGGTCTCAAACTCCCAATTTGGTGGGTGCCCTTCTTACTCTAATAGACCAAACCACTTTTTGGCTCTAGGATTACCCATCCTTTTAGGCTTACCATATTTCCATCTTCATCCTGGATTGAAAAATACCTTTCTTCCAAATTTTACTGGGAAAGGACCAAATGGAATTTAAAACTGTAACTTTTTTCTCCAATTTGGTGTCCTTCTTACTCTAATAGACCACACCACTTTTTTTTTATTTTTTATTTCAGCATATTATGGGGGTACAGATATTTATGTTACTTATGTTGCCCTTGCCCCCCCCCAAGTCCGAGTTTCAAATATGTCCATCCTTCGGGTGGTGCGCATTGCACTCCTTGTGTATGAAAATACCCGTCCCCTCCTCCCCCCTCCCCCACACCACTTTTTGACTCTAGGATTACCCATCCTTTAGGCTTACCATATTTCCATCTTTATCCTGGATTGAAAAATACCTTTCTTCCAAATTTTACTGGGAAAGGACCAAATGGAATTTAAAACTATAACTTTTTTCTATAGGTATTAATTAAAAACCTATTTTATTGATGATTAAAGAAGTAATAAACATCTAGTAGAAAATAATTATAACACAAAAGTGATTGAAGAGTTTAAACAGTGAATGCAATGTTGAGTAAAGCATTGAGAATAAGATGGGCATTCATCACAGGTTAAACGGCGAGGGAGAAAAGATCTAAAACCATTTTATTTTTAGCTACTAGTTGTTTTTTAAAAGTTACACAGGGAAGTGATCTAATGATTAAAGGCAAAGTAAAATACACTATCTCATCCTGTTTTAGAGTTTGAAAGGGCCTTTGAGACCATCTAGTTCAATTTCTTCTTAATTGAGGTAATAGATTTGAGAGTCCACTTGCTGTAAGTACCTCTTCTTGAGGAAGTTCATACTTTCAAGAAATGCCCTCAACTTTCTAAGAAAATCATGATCGCTTATATTTTTCATATTACCTCTCATGGTACGACATTTACATATTGAAACCTGCATTTCTAAAACCCAAACATGCATTCTCCTATATGCATATTCATGTGCAGTGCCTCTGCAATGGGGTGCTTTTCCTTAACCAATCTTCTACTATAAAAGACATGAATGAGTAAACCTTGGAAAAGGGATAACATCTTTGATATTTTCAACTCCCAAGATGCACTGCAGGTAGCGTTCAAATCCCATCCCAAAACCTCCATGTGGCACAGATCCAAATCGACGAAGGTCCAGATACCTGTTTTGTAAAAACACAGAATCATCACCTATAAATGCTGTATGAGATCGGATGTTATGATTAGAATTTTATATTTCAAAAGTATTTTGCAATCATTTGCTATTGTCCATATCATTGTGGTAGACCAGTCTTTCCCCTCCACAGACAGATGATGGAAACATCAAAGTTAAAGTGATCTCATCTATCCATGGTTACCCAGAGAAACAGCAGTACATCCTGTCATTCAGTCATGAGCTTTTGGTCATTTGATCCTTTTTAAGTTATTTATGCATTTATGTACAGAAAACTTGTCTCATGAGGCTACAGAAACATTTCTAATAACTTTACTAGTTATCCTGAAAATACATTCCTCTTCTATTTCTTGGTATGTTAATGATGATGCTTTTTTCCTTACCAAAATCATATTGTTCAATACACAGAGGAGAGTGAAGAGTTTTGCTTGATACATTACAAAAAGATATCACCTAGATTAGACTGTAAGCTAAAGCAGGGCAGGAATCATGTCTCATTCAACCTTTTATCTCCAGGGAATGCTCTAGAGTAGGTGCTTCTACATGAAGATTTATTGTTTGAAGGCACAAAAATATATTCTTCAATGCTGAAAGAATGAGAAACCTCTAGCTCTCTGCTTCGGGCCTCGTGAAGATGCTCAGAGTCATTTCTCTGGCAGGCTAGCCAGCCTCTGAAACCTATCCACTTAAGACCACATGGCTAGAAAATAGCCAAGCCATTACTGAAACTCAGATTCTAATACACCAGCATTAGATAAAGTTATTTTAGGAAAGAAAGAGAAAAAGGAAAACTATACTTTATTATGTCATTTGGTGGGGAAATTCTTGAGTTATATGATACTGATTAAAATAAATTTAGAGTTTCTTGAATGATTTGTAATATCAGTTCCACAATCACTTAAGCACCACAGCTGGTAGTCATTTGGCTCCTCAAGCATAAAGACTGTCTACCGCCTATTTCCTCAACATTAATAATAATGGCTACATATATTGGTATTTTAGGGAGTTGACTAAGTACTTTTTGAAATAAAGATGAATTCCAACTAGATGAGCTGTACCAGGTGACAGAACAGTATGACAGAGGTATCTAATATAAAACTTCAGATTAGTAAGAACTATAAGGAAAAATGGAAGGAACTTATTCTTGACTAATTGAAATGTTTGGTAGCCGAATTAACTTTAAGTTTACAACGCAGGGGGGCAGCGTATACTTTGATTTAGTAACAAAATAAGATTAAGGGCATACCAAACCACCTGTCACAAACACCTGGAAGATCTCAGCGGCTGCTAGAAGGTCCAGCAATAGTTTTAGATGGGTCCAAATTTCTCATACATTGCTGTCAAAACACTGGTATGAATATCAGCAAACTGAATTCAGCAGAGCAATTCAGTTTGTAGTATTTTTCTTTGCCTTTGTTTTGACAGGTGAAAAAATCCACTCCTAAGAAAAAAGTTTTCTAATGTATATATATTTGTCTGATTGTTGTTAAGATTGATTCTAGGGTAGCCAGATTATAGAAGATACTAGAAAATTTGTGGAACTAGTTATAGATCTTATTTGCATATGGCATGAAGAAATAGGAAGTGAGTAAATTTTTAGACACCTGGGGTGGCTACTCACAATATGGGAGAACATTAGCAGAGATCACAAATGTGAAGATTTCTAAGGCTCCTTTTACCTTTAATATACTATAATTACCACATAAAAGGAAGCAAATTCAAATAATAAATATTTACATTTGGAGATCTTAAAAATTTGAAAACTTTCATTGGGAAAAGAATATTACTAAAATGATTAATAAAGACTAGAAAAGGCCTTAACTTATTTAACCAATAATTAAAATTTGTATTTAGTTCTTTATTAAGGCAAGTTCTTACACACTATAAATATTATCTCACAGACTGAAAGAATCTAGGGTAAAATGCATAAGCTTGCTCAAAAAATCAGGCTTATCTACCTAATGTTTAATAGCAAGACTCAGAACAAAGAAAAGAAACGGGGCAGGAAACTAGTATTTACTCAGTATAGATACTTAACCTATATTGTTTCATTTCATCTTCATAATAACCTTGTGAAGTAGATAGTATCATTCCATTTTATAATCAAGAAAACCAAGACTTAGAGAGATTAAGTATGCCTACGGTCATTACTGGTAAATATAAGGCATTTAAAGGCCATTACCGTAACCCAATTTTAGCTTTTTTGCATCTCCAAAACGTACCTCCTTCCTTACCAAAAGGCAAGGGTGTAATATGCCCCTTCCTTCTCCTAAGGACAGCAAAAGGATTAATATTATTGTAGATATTATTATTATTATTATTTTTTTGAGACAGAGTCTCGCTCTTTTTGCCCGGCCTAGAGTGCCGTGGCGTCAGCCTAGCTCACAGCAACCTCAAACTCCTGGGCTCAAGCGATCCTTTTGCCTCAGCCTCCCAAGTAGCTGAGACTACAGGCACGCGCCACCATGCCCGGCTAATTTTTTCTATATATTTTTAGTTGTCCGATTAATTTCTTTCTATTTTTAGTAGAGACAGGGTCTCACTCTTGCTCAGGCTGGTCTCAAACTCCTGAGCTCAAACAATCCGCCAGCCTCGGCCTCCCAGAGTGCTAGGATTACAGGCGTGAGCCACCGCACCTGGCCTATTGTAGATATTATTATGCCAAGATCCCAAAGGAGTGCTATTACCGAAATATAAATAAATAATCTGTATATATTGAAAACTATTTGCAGAAAGGGTGTGTAGAAAGAAAACCAGGAACAACTTTGAAGAAGTAAATGCCTGAGTACAGACAGGTGGTCTTCCCTAAGCAGCTCAGATTTCTACGGTTCGTGGAGACCTTAGGGATCACTTGGCTCAAGTCCCTGATTTCATAACTAAAGAAATTTTTTTTTTTCTTTTGAGATAGGATCTCACTCTGTTGCCCAGGCTGGAGTGCAGTGGCCCAATCATAGTTCACTGTAACCTTGAACTCCTGGACTCAAGCCATCCTTCTGCCTCAGCCTCCAGAGTAGCGGGGACCACAGGCATGGGCCACCATGCTCAGCTAATTTTATTTTTATTTGTAGGGATGGGTCTTGCTATGTTGCCCGGGCTGGTCTTGAACTCCTTGGTTTAAGCAATCCTCCTGCCTTGGCCTACTAAAGTGCTGGGATTACAGGTGTGAGCTGCTGCGCCCAGCAAGAAATTAAAGCACAATGATTAAGAGCAAAGGTTTTTGATTCAGAGAGTTCAAGTCCCAGCTCCATGCTTCTACCTGTGTGATATTGGTTAAGTTAGTTAACATCTCTGGCCTCAGGCGTAGAGCTGTAATAAAAAGGGGTTAATAATAGTACCTAACTCACAGGTGTTGTGATGATTACATGAGATATTATAATATAGTTTAACATAGTTATTTGACACAATAAATAGCTAAATGGTAGTAGCTATTAATATTATTATTTTTCAAGAACCCAAAGGGAATAAGTAATCTTCTGACCTCCCCCCAAAACCTCCCTGCCTTTCACAGTTCTTAATGCTCTTCCACAAGGGCTCGGAAATACAAGTTAAAATTCTTCTAGGCAACACTCAGACAAGCAGCTAGGATACGTATGAATTATTGGGGGCCATATTCTTACCATTGGTAGACTTCTTTAAGTCCTGATCTGTGAAAGGATAATAAAATTCTTTCAGGGAATGGCAATCAGATAAATATATTAACCACTCAACATTTATTCTGGGTTGTATGCAAAAAGCTTTTTATGAAGAAGTACGCAACAAAGCCTGTGCTCTCAAATAACACACAATATAGTTGAGGAGCTGAAACTTTATAGTAAGTTAATGAACAGCCCAAGGTATTATGAAATAAGGGGTTTAGACAATAAATGCTACAGAAAGAAAATATGATCCAAAGCCTAAAAGAAGGGATTCATCAGACATCAGCTTATTGTACTATGACATAAGAAAAGCACTATTTTTACTACGTAAGGTTGTTAGGAGGCACACACAGACAAGGGACACACAGACATAACTTTCATTCTATAACATTAAAACAGTAATATAGATTCTGAGGCTGCCTTTGTAGTATGGTTGCTGATTTGTTCTTATTTGAGAAATATTAATAAAATTTTAAGCTGTTAGTGTTCATTTAAATTAATACCAGCCCTTTAAAAAATGTTTGAGGCCACAGTATATCTAAAGTGATCAGGTCTATGAAAAATTCAAATATACAAAAATACACAAAACATGAATCGCAGCCACACACAGATCTCTGAGATAAGGAACACGTATATTCATTTCATTAGGAAAGATAAATTTGGATATTATCATATATTAGGTAAACATTTAATGTTATGAGGAAAGGTTTCCTGAAGGAAGGAAGCAAGCAAAGAAAACAGACCAATTAATCTTTCAACAGATGAGGTTTCTTGCCATGTGTTATTTTTATTGTGCTTTTTAAAAAACCCCAAAGAATCCTCAGATTCTTTCCACCTAAAGAGTTTGACTTTTACTTCAATTACACAACTTTCCCAGGACTTTCCAACATGATAGTGGTATTAAGGAGTTAGTAGAATGATACACAGAGTCTTCCCAAAACCTATTTATCCCTTTCTTTTGGATCCTAACCCAATAGAGCAGCTCAGATGACTGGGATTACAAAACTAGTTACCCAAGAGAGGCTGGGATCTTGGGAAGGCATCAACTTTTTAAGCATTTCTCCATTAAGGAAAGAAGGACTTACAAATGGCTAATTTAACAGGACATTTTGAAAGAATAATGGCTTTTCCACGTTACTATGAAACCCAGTATTATCTGGAGAGAAGGATTAAGCATACAGACATAGCGAGGTTTTTTTTTTTTGTCTGGCACAGTAAAAGTAGAAATCATGGAAAAACAGAGGCTTATAACCTTGGTTAGTTTAGGAAGTCACTAAGGTTTGTTGGCAGGCCCTGCATATTCAGGAGTGGAAGTTCAATTAGAAACATGATTCCCTATTTCCCATCTCCAAAACATTCTTTATGTGTTTATGGATTCATTTCCCAGGTCTCAAACAGCAAGTTAAAATAAAGTATTCAAATAGCTAAATCAAGACCCTGACATAGTAGAGAACCCAAGGAAGGGAAATCTGCTTATACTAAATGCTAGCTTAGCAGATATTTTTAGCAGTTTTCTTTCCCCACCTTTATCCTGTCCCTGGTTCACAGTCTGTCTTTAAGTCCCTGTAGGAGTCTGCCACTCATTATTGAGAATAAACAGAAAATACAGATACGAGAAAAATGTAGGACAGGCTTTGAGGGGGAAATCTCCCTCCTCATATTAACTTTATAAAAAACTACTTTCCACAGGGAAAGATATGTACAAACAGTGGGTAAATATCACCGTAGGCTTTTCATGTAACAGTTCTAGTCTTTAAGAAAGGGCAGGTGAGAGAGCCTGAGTAACAATTTGCTCAAAGTCACACAGAAATCTGAGATCCAGGTCTGGATCACCAAGGCCTGAGGCCCATGTGCTTTTTTCTCTGTTACTATGCCATGATCACTTTTGAGTGCCTCACCCCAAATTTCTGAACTGTGTTTGTTTTAGGTCCTACCTGGCCAAGCGCTGCTCTAAGACATGGTACCGTTCCTCTCTGAGGCTTCCTCCAAAGAGTTCCCCAACCCCTGGAACCAGAAGATCAACAGCAGCAACCTAGAAAGGAAATAAAAATTAGTAGCATATTTTCAGGTGATTCCAATAGTCAGCTTCTTGAGCAAGTAGAACTTTTAACATTTTGACAACTAGATGTTTAACTGCCTGCCAGAATCTTACTCACTTTATCTGTCCATGCTCCTTGTTTCAGTATCGAATGTTTAATATTATCTTTTAAATATATGCTACACAAATCGCAAGTGCGCAGTTTTCTCTCTCCTCTTCCACCATTTGTGTGGTGTACTCAAAAAGAATGTTTTCTTCACAAATGCGATATAAACATTAATTATAAAAATGTGGAAAGTGTTAAAAAATGATGAAATATTAAAAATCACCTATCACCACATAGAAGCAATTATATTTTGGCATATTTCCCTTCAGGTTTTTTCTGTCTTATGCATTTAAAAAGAGTATGTTAGAGATCAAATTACATATAAAAATTTATCATTTAATTGCCTTACCTAATACTATATAATTAATATTTGTCCTCTGTCAGTAAAAATACTTCATACATTTAATGTTTTAATTGATCTGTAGTTTATTGCTTAGAATTATACTTTACATAACTGCTTCCCTTTTTTGTTGAACATTTTTCAGTGTGTGTGTATTTTTGTTTGTTTTCTCTTATAAATAATGTGGCAATGGAGAGTTTTCTTTAATTTGTAGTATTTTGTTAAGACATAAAATAAGTTCTGATTACTAGTCAAAGAAGTACAAATTAAAAGAATAAGATACCATTTTGGAGTTATCAAAATGGTGATGATAAGAAAACAACATAAATAATATAGATAAGAGAAGGAATAAACCAATGCTCTTGTACGCTTGATATAACCTTCTGGTCAGCAATTTGACAACAGATAATCAAAAGCCTTAAAAATGCAGTATGCTTTGACTCAGCAATAACAGTTCTAGGAACTAGTCCTAACAAAATAATCAGAGATGCAAGAAAGATTAACACACAGGATGTTTATTACAGCATTACTTACAATGATGAAAAATTCAAATATATGTCAACAGAGGACTATTAGATCAATTTTAGACATGGATAGAAAAAAGACTAAGTAATGAGATGTTAATTGTGCTGCCACTGTGATAAGGATTATGGATATTTTAACATTGTTTTCTTCTTTTCTGTTATTTTTATTTTCTTATTTTCTATAGTAAAGATGTAATAGAAAACATCAAAAAACTTTTAGTAGGAGAAAATGATAGCTTGATATTTTAATTTGTATTTTTTAATTACTTGTAATATTTAATTTTTAAAAATGTTTGTTTGTTATCTGCATTATTTTTTGACTTGCCAATTCTTTTATTTTGGGCAGGTAGACATTTTTTAAGCCCAAGAATTTGTAGGTACAAAACTAAGAAAGATTTAGAGCAACAAATGAAAAATTAGGAATCCATAAAACACATTTTAATCTTTAAATGTCACAATATATTGTAAACTTTTTTCTTAAACTTTGCCTCACTTTGTCACTACACCATCCCTCTAAGTTTTGATTTCAGAACTTCTGATTGAGGTATATTTTATAAATAATTGAGACTAATAAAGAATAATTCAAGAATGTGCCCCAAATGCTGTATACTTTATCCTCATTACTATCATTGAAGAGAAAACATTAGCTATGATTTTCATCACTAGGCTGAGTCAGAGAGAAGAGAGATTCACTAATGGTTTCTACTTTTACTAAATTCCTTGCCATTCAACAAGCTCATTAGGAGTAAGTATACAAACAAGTCTTTGTCATGCTACCACTGCTGTTGACCACATCTGGGCAGTAATTCTATAAACTTGAGGGGCCTACAGTGAACAACCAGGTATTTTAGATTAGTGTTTATGTTAACTCAGACATGATAAATGGTAATGAAATCCAACCACCAACATTAGATAGGTAGACAACAGAGCCTTGCCTCACTAATGTGATGAGGCAATTCTCATGGGCTACACAATTAATATAGCTTGACTCTAATCAGGACCCTGCAGTTACCTCTTCTATCCTCAGAGAAAAGAGAAAGTACAAAGGGAATTTCTATGTCCACAAAAGGACTGCCATTTTAATTTCCCTGTATCTTGCTTTGAGACATGGCTAAAATATGACAGGAGTTGGAAGAGACATGGTAAAAAATTTCTTCTTACCTTCAATCCAGAGTGTTATATTTAGAGTTACAGACAATCAGAGTTGGAAGAGAATAGTCAACCAAGAGGCTCTTTGGCCTTTGCTTGAAAATATTTAAAGCCTGGGAAATAGTATCCCTGAAATAAAGCATCACATCCTATTTATCTTTGACTAAAATCAACTCAAAAAGGATTAAAGACTTAAATATAAGACCTAAAAATATAAAACTACTAGAAGAAAATATAGGGGGAAAGCTCCAAGACATTAGTCTGGGTAATGATTTTTTTGGATATGACTTGAAAAGCACAGACAACAAAAATGAATGGGATGGCATCAAACTAAATAACTTCTGTATAACAAAGGAAACAATTAACAAAATGAAGGGACAACTCACAAAATGGGAGAAAATATTTGCAAACCATGTATCTGACAAGGGGTTAATACCTAAAATATATTAGGAATTCAAACAACTCAATAGCAAGAGAACAACCCAATGAAAAAATGAGCAAGGAACTGAACAGACATTTCTCAAAAGAAGACATACAAATGGCCAACAGGTACACATGAAAAAATGCTCAGCATCACTAATCATTAGACAAATGCAAATTAAAACCACAATGAAATATCACTTCGCACCTGTTAGAATGGCTTTTATCAAAAAAATGAAAGATAAGTTTAGAGAGGATGCAGAGAAAAGGAGCTCTTATACATTTGGTGGGAATGTAAATTAATACAGCCATTATGAAAAATGGTAAGGAGGTTTCTCAAAAAACTAAAAATAGAACTACCATGTAATCCCGTAATCCCACTTTTGGGCATATATCTAAAGGAACTGAAATCAATATGTTGATGTGGTATCTTCACTCCCATGTTCACTGCAGCATTATTCATAATAGTCAAGATACAGAAACAATCTAAGTGTCCATCAATGGATGAACAAAGAAAACATGGTATATTTACATAACGGAATACTATTCAGCATTAAAAAGAGAGAAAATCCTGTCATTTGTGACAACATGGATGAATCTGGAGGACATTATGCTAAGTGAAATAAGCTAGGCACAGAAAGACAAATACCACATGATCTCACTTACAGGTAGAATCTAGTAAAGTTGAGCTTATAGAAATAGAGAGTAGAAGCTCTGGGGGTGGGGAGGGAGGGAATGGAGAGTTGCTGATCAAAGGGTATAAAGTTACAAAGAGAAGGGGAATGGGAGCTGTTAATCAAAGGGTGCAAAATTTCACACAGATAAGAGAAATAGATTTTGAGATTTATTGCACAACAGGGTGATTATAGTCAATAATAATGTATTATATATTTTAAATAACTAAGAGAGTAAATTTCAAATGTCTCACCACAAAACATGACAGGTGAGTAAATTTCAAATGTCTCACCACAAAAAATGACAGGCAGGCTGGGTGCGGTGGCTCACACCTGTAATCCTAGCACTCTGGGAGGCCGAGGCGGGTGGATCGCTCAAGGTCAGGAGTTCAAGACCAGCCTGAGCAGGAGCAAGACCCCCGTCTCTACTAAAAAATAGAAAGAAATGATCTGGACAACTAAAAATATATATATAGAAAAAATTAGCCGGGCATGGTGGCACATGCCTGTAGTCCCAGCTACTTGGGAGGCTGAGGCAGTAGAATCGCTTGAGTCCAGGAGTTTGAGGTTGTTGTGAGCTAGGTTGACGTCACAGCACTCACTCTAGCCCGGGCAACAGAGTGAGACTCTGTCTCAAAAAAAAAAAAAAAAAAAAATGACAGGCAAGCAAGGTGACGGATATGTTAATTAGCTTGATTTAATCATATCACATTGTATACAATGTGATATATAAAAATATCACAATGCACCCCATAAATGTATATAACTATGACTTATCAAAAAAATGAAAAGAAAGGATAGGTATATCAAAAATCTATCATTTCCAAGATTTTAAAGTAGGGTTGATTCCATGCAACAGGAGAAGGCAGTAATTGCTTTTGATATTGTAAGTACATGCAAAGCTTAACAGCCAGGGCTAAAAAGGTTTATAGCTTCAAAAAGATGGTGGAAAATCAGCTATTATGGAAGAACAGGAAGTAAGTAGTCCAGATGAGGAGGGATGAAACAATCCTTACTGAGCTGTTCTGCTTTCTCTGTGTAGTTCATAAGCATCAAACAAAAGATCCACTTCTTGCTTGATCTTGCTGCTAATATAACTAAAACAAACAAAAAATCCTCTGGAATGTTACCACTTTTTGCAGGTCTAAATTATGTTAATTTTGGATCTTAGTTTTTTTAATGCTATTTTCAGATTATATAAATCATATTTATTTTTTATTATAAACCTCCTTTCTTTTAATATTTAAGTTCAGTGGAGAGTTCACTGTATAATCATGTTGGCTTTAGATCTTTCTATCTGGCTTGTATTTACTTGGCATATGTGCAACAGCATAGTAATAGCTGTGGAACTAGAAGTTTCTGATCCTTTTGAGTCACCTTCAAAATCTTATGCCATGGTATGATAGCTACTTTTTAAAAAAATTTCTTCCAAACTTCCCTTCTTAATTTCCAGGGTACCTAACTGCTTATGCCCAACTATTTCTGCACTGGCTATTATAAACTTAGGGTGACAGTTGCTGTATGACTAATAGGATAGGCTAGGTTAAGCTACAGTCATAAACAACCCCAGAAGCTTATAATAAGGTTTCTCAATCTCAGCACTAATAACATTTTTGGCCACATATTTCTTTGTTGTGAGGGCCTGACCTGTGCATTGTGGGATATTTAGCAGGATAATTGGCCTGTACTCACCAGAGGCCAGTTGTGACAATCAAAAAGGTCTCTAGACACTACTACATGTCCCCTGGGAGAAGGAGTGGGACATCATAATCCCTGATTGA